TACTTCAGTGTGACCAGCACTCAGGACCATTACCCTACCAATGGGAAGGTAACTTGGACCGAACACCAGTGATAGGCACCAGGGCTGATAGGTTGCCCAGCCCAGCCCTGGTGAAAGCGGAAGGGGACGAGCCTTGTCGAACCGGAACTTCGGACCCCAGGCCCAGACAATCTACTGCAGGCCCCAAGAGACTCTGGGCCCTAGGTTTCAGACAGGGGAGCACCCATTGAAGCAGTCTTACTGTCCTTCCCCTAACCTACCCAAGGCCAGGCGGAACTCAGACTGGCCTGAGCGACTTATACCCCTAAGGGCCCTACCCTTACCCCAGGGTCCAAGCCTTATACATAGGCACTAGACAGTTCTACCCAAATATCAGTAGGAACTCAGGTGGCCCATACCTGTCCCAATCACAGATACTAGACCCCACCCAGTGACTAGATCCCCCCAGTCTGATAGTTGTGTAGCTCGAAATGTATGTGTATACCCGAAGGCTGTGTATGCTTCGTGTATCTATGTATGAAGATGTACAGACGACACTATGTGTGGAAACTTGTGTATGTAGCCCCTTGGCCATGTATAATTCACAAGCTATGTATATGCCCAAAGGCTGTGTGTGCTCTGTGAATCAATGTATCGAGATGTAGAGGCAGCATCATGTGTGTATATCGAAGAGAGAACGGGGTAAGCTGGACAAGGACCCCCCAAGATCCGAGCCAAGCTCGAACCCGTGACCTTGAAACATGTAATCGTATGACTCTACCATGTCAACGGCTAGGGGAAATGGCGCGAACGTGTGATATGCCAGACTGGGGAGATCAACAGATCGCCCAAGACCAAGATCCCCAAGCAACCCATGTGAAACCCAGAACCAACATACAACACCATGAACAACCCTTGGGTGGTGCGCAGGCAGTGTCTGTAATAGTACCATGCGTCAGCCCAAGGGAGTGTGTCCAGCCGTGCATCAGTCTAACGCCCTCTCGGTGTCCATGCGTAAGGTTGCAATTGAGTTTTGAACCCGCAACCTCATACCACAACTTGAATGCGCATTTCCAACCGGTGCTCTAACCACTGAGCCACATCAACTGGAGTCCGGTCTTAAGTACCGGACTCAAGTTGAGTCCGGAGGGCAGAAGTGCAATTTGCCTCGGGGCTAAACTGAAAATCGAAGGTCTGA